GATTGCCCAGAGATCTTAAACTGCTGCAAATCTTGAGATGGATTTTCATAATTATGAGAAGTAGGGAATTTCAGGATATGTACCAGCAACAAATCAGAATAGCTTACATTATGGAAGGGAACTTGTAAGTGATATTATCCCTTTTCCCCTCGATGCTCTTGTCCATTTCAATGATAGACGTCCCATGGAAGGAGGTTTTAAAGCCTTCGGTAAATTGTACAAACCAGCAGCCAAGACCAGTAGGAACAGGCTGATTAAATTCCAAGCCCCAATGATATCCAGGTCCTGCTGTAGGCTTCTTCATTATCCGGGGTTGTGAATAGAGCTATGTGCTTTTAATCGGCAGACAGCACCACTCTCAACTTTTGGTGTGTGGACATAATTCAGAATTGAGCAGCTGAAGATGATTGGGTTGAGGAACCTTATGGCACCTTGCAGTGATAAACCAAGGATACAATAACTACCTAGCAAAAGGACTTCATTTGTATCAAGTACAACTGCACTCACTGGACAACACCTTCACTCCAATTCATATTTGCCAATACTTCAAACTTCCTCTACTTAAATACTGTCTTGCTGTCAAGGATACTTACTACTCTTGCATCCATATCTGCATCAAAGGCAAGATTAGGCTGAAGCCAAGATGTTCTGTCGGAATTTAACCGTGCAGTTTTAAGAGATTAAAATGATGGCGGTGTCACAATGACAAACACATTCACAAACATGAACACCATTTGATCTGTGGTTCATTCATTGTTGATGAGAATTCATTCAGGCGCTTCCATGCACTGTTAATAAACAAACACAAAAGGAGGCCAAAAAGGGTACAGATCGACTTTTTCCCCCCTCGCAAAAAAAGCAATGTTAAATAGTTACGATTTCAGTAATAACACAGTAGGGTGCCCTAAACAGATTCTATTTGAGCACTGAACTAGAATGATAGTTTGACAGATATATGAAACACCAAAAGCATAAGATATCTTCTCCCAGCTCAACCCAAATCTCAGGGCAACCTGTAGATCAAGAAAAAAAAAGTGACTGCAGAAGGTATGCAGAATAATTGATACTCAAATGTGAGGTATTTGGTCAAGCAATTATATGCAGATCCAATTCTTTACTAGGATTAAAATTCCAATTGTGTGGTCCAAGGAATTTCACTATCAACTCCTTCTGTGCCATGCTGGTCAGAGTATTCTTCAACTCATGGGCCTATCAGGAACCAAGAAGGGCATTTTTTTTCTTCTTCTTTATTCATTCATGGGATGAGGGCATCGCTGACCAGGCAGCATTTATTGCCCATCCCTAATTGCCCAGAGGGCAATTTAGAGTCGACCACATTGCTGTGGGTCTGGAGTCACATGTAGGCCAGACCAGGTAAGGATGGCAGTTTCCTTCCCTAATGGACATTAGTGAACCAGATGGGTTTTTCCAACAATCGACAATGGATTCACGGTCATCATTAGATTCTTAATTCCAGACATTTATTGAATTCAAATTCCACCATCTGTCAAGGTAAGATTCGAACCAGTATCCCCAGAATGCTATCTGGGTCTCTGGATTAACAGTCCAGTGATAATACCACTAGGCCATTGCCTCCCCCTACAGGCCAAGGTTAGCAATTCCCACAATTAGTAGTGGGAAGGAGCCCAAGATGTTGGTGCCCTTTACACCAGCAGACTTAAGGTTTTGCTCCAATGCTTACTCCCCATCAGCACTAATATTTTGAGCAAAATCTGGCACAATAGGAACAAGCTTTGTATTCTTCAAAGTTGTACTTTGATGGCAGGTAGTTTCCCCGCCACCCCCCAGCACAGCATGTTTAACCAAACAACTGAGGTTTACAGACCATGTCTGAGTTTTGCACATAAATGAACATTTGGGAGGGGTGCTGAAAGGCAACTACGACTTAAACTGGAACTCAACAAACTTTTTAGAGGTAATGAGAAAGAAGGAATTACTTTTCAATTAACGAGAAAGTTGAGAAAACAAAGCTGGAGCAGACAATTGCATCTCTTGCCCTTTTGTAGTACATCAACAGCTGTAATAATCCAGACTTATTTTTTTTTAATGCATGTCAAATGAAATTTGAAATTGAATTGTATCGCAACTGCACAAGTAACATTCAGTACACTGAATGGAGAAGCAGGACAATAAATATTGGTTTATCTACAACAACAGTACCTGTTCAGGCAATTTTCATCTCTTGCATATCCAAACACCATTATCACTTGGTATTATTTCACTCTTGGTGGAATTTCTCAAGTCTTTTTTTAATTTAGAAAAATAGCTTACAAACTTTCCTATTTTATTGACTGAGTTTGTTTTCATCAATAAGGGATATATACTAGAGAATTAAACTTCCCAATTTAGACAGTCACTAAAAGCACTTCCAATCAGATAACAGAGACACAGTCAAGCTGCTCACCTTCCCCTTACTACTTTTTTTTTGGGGTGGGGGGGGAAGAGAGACCTTTACAGAGTATCCTTGACTATACTAGCATAATATTTTCACTTTCCATATAGTGATCTCACTAATTATTTAATGCTGAACTTGAGGCAAAATTATCCCATGAGCCTATTTCTGCCACAGATGGGTATCAATCTATGGATATTCACTTCAAACGGGTGCAGTGAAACAGCCAAGTTCCACAACTAGATAGGAGAACTAACATCTCATCATGACAATTCAAATTCAACTTTAGAAAATCTATAAAATTGGCATCATGCAATTTTCTAACAGTCATAAAAACCAAATTGGTTTATTAATGTCTGTTAAAAAAAAAAGTCACTTCTGTACCACACAAACATGATTCCTATGACGTAGTCAGCAGGGTAGTCACTTGCATCTCAGGGTAAATTGTAAAGAAGCAAGAGACAATATCAAAGAACAGTCATTCAGATTGAAGGAAAGTAGAAACTGCTGTTCTACAACAGATCAGTACTTAGAGCACAAAGCATTAAATATTTTAATTTATTCGTAAATCTTCTCGATCAGAATTTGCCGATTAAACCAAATGTGGTGGTATGGCAACAATCGAGGAAAAGTCCATTGTAAGACACTATAAAACTTGCAGTTGAGCGGTAAATAAATTTTAAATGTAGATGACCAAAAGGTGACGCCCTTTGGTTAGAAAAACTGAAACACTGCCTACACTGTAGAAAATCAGAAATTGAACAAGGCATAGAAAACAAAAATCTCAGGATAAAAGGTGAATAAAATCAAAAATCAGGCAATGCCGGTCAGCAAATCAACAAAAACAGCTATCAAAGCATTGAGGTTTATTCCAATGGATATATAGAATTTAGCAAACTTGTATAGGAATTTGGTCACTGTCAAGAGTTGTGTTTTCCGTGCTGTATAAAAAGTATCATGGAGAAAGTAAAAAAAATTCCTGCAATCAGTAGTGGGAAGAAGTCCAAGATACTGGTGCCCTTTACACCAGCAGACTTAAGGTTTTGCTCCAATACCTAAGCCTTCAAAAACCTGGCGCAATGGGAACAAGCTTCCTCTACTTTAACGCAAACTTTTAAAGACCAGTAAGGTTTTTGTTTTCCCCGTTGGCAGAGCATGTTTAACCCAAACAACTAACGTTTACAGGCCGGGGTTGAATTTTACACAACAGGAGAGGTTCTGAAATGCAACCTCCACTTGAAGAGCTAGAACCAGCAAACATTGAGGCAAGGAGAAAAAGAGAAATGAGTGGTAAATAAGTTTTCAATTTCAAGGATGTTATCAGAATTGGGAGATTATAGGTATCAGGAAAAATTTAAAAAAAAAGAGAAGACCTGTATGTGTTTGAAATTATAAATGGCTAGACAGGGTAACTGTGGAAAGAATATTTCCACGTACGGTGAATACGAAAATAGGGGCCACAAATACAAGCAGTTCAAAAGGAACAGCATCTAACCAAATGGACCATCCATTACTCATCAGTGCCCCTAGCATCATGGCTTCCCTCTGCCTCAAGTATTTTCTACAAAGTGAAAAGAACAAAAACGTACCTGGCATGATCTATTTATACTTCTTTCTAAGGAAAGGACCTGTCTGCCTTGACATTTACCGCTCTTCAATCTCTTTCCTGAACATAAACCTTAGTGCTAGTATGCGCAGTTCGAAAGATGACAAACAAGGTTTAAATTCCCAATGGACACAATTGCTTTTAATTAAGATTATATTCAGAGTCCTTCAAAATTCAGCAGCCTGTACTGAATTCACTGATTTCAGATACAATGGCATGACTCTCAACACCCCACCCAACAAAAAAGGCCAGGATTCCAAATCGTAAATACTGCTCCACAACCCTTGCTGGAAGCACATATATGGATGTCAGGAAAGGATAGGATAGTTTTATTTTGCAGCAAATCCTCTTGCATTGATGACCAAACATGGAAATATTTTTGAATAACAATTACATTTATCTTCCACTCTTCTACCATAACCTGCTTCTAAGTAAATAGAATTCACAATTAAAGAAAACACTCCAGTTTAAAACCACTGGCTAACAGACAACTCACCTGCTTCTGATCCATGCTTTTTCAAGATAGGACCTTTCTTAACCATTCTTCATATTGTTTCAATTTTAAAAAACAACCCATTTCTATCTTTTAAAACTGTATTTTAAAATAGGATTTGTATAAAATCATACACAAATGAACTCCCCACCCTGGGTAGGTCACAAAATATATATCAGATCTCTGACTGCAGTCAGAGAAGGCGGTACAAGGAAGTTGGAACATAGGTGGCAGTCTTTTTTTAAAATCACTGCCATAGCTGTTTCTCCCTCCTGCTAGTTAAACAGCTCCAAAGTGTTCAAGTTTTAACAGCACCTGTCACCTCCAGATTGTTTAATCACTTTCTAATATTATTAGATTAGGCCAGGTGGAATTTAAACACATGCCCCAGGGATGAAGGACAGAACTTTAACTCAAAAGCACCATTATGTCCCAGAACAGGTAATGCTATTTAAGTGTGCACTATAAACACAAGGAATACAAAACAATTCACAAATGAAAATTTGCTTTATTGTTATACACTCAACAGACTTCCATAGAAATGAAGGTGAACACATTTTTGCTTTAAAAGATCTACAATTAAACAAAGTACACTTAGTTGAGGACTCTATAGGTTCTGCTGTCCTGGAGGTCTGCATCAGTGGAACGATTAACCATGGGAAAGAACAGTCTACATGTAATCGCATAGAAAAGCATTAACCATAGCAAAGAATTATGCAATCAATATATACACATTATACACATACTGTACCATTAAACCTTTCCAGCCCATAAAAATCCAACTATAGCAGTGATGGTTTCCCATTTTACTGGCATACCTAGATGGCAATTGAAGTGTTTACTAATATCTGAATAACCACTTTACTGCAAATTAAATCCAATGCAGGAAACAATGTAATTTGGTAGCATAGTAATAATTAAACATTGAATGGTGAAATATAAAAAAACTACTTAGCAATCAGTAGTGAAAGCCAGAACTTAAACTGAAGGAACAGAATAGCAGTTCAGATCAATGGCAGATAGAGTGCATGCGCTATCACAGTACTGCAACATTCTCCAGGTGCACAATCTCACGATGGCCACGTTAACTCAGACCACAATTCCTTTGTATAAAAAAAGTGTCAATAATTATGACAGGGTCTGTGTAGACTGTAGAAAGAATTTCATTGTGACAATATGCCAAGAAATACAATTAAAAATTTCCTTCTGGATCATTAACTCATGGTCCAACAGCATAGTCTGGGAGTTGCAAGCAAAACAAAAACACTGTTGAATGTCTGTTTTTTTTGACTGGAAAGGGTTAACAATAACTGATGAGTAGCCATTGACCAAGAACTGCTCCTGACCACCCTCCCTAAACAGCGTTAAAACTTCAGTTTGAGTGGCACCCAAAAATTTAGGTAAATATGGGGGGTGGGAGAAGAAATATTAACTGCTAAAATATTGACCCCAAGCTTGAAGTTGCAAAGAACTAAATTCACATAGTACATAGAAACACCAGAATGAGGGATAAATGGATGTCAGAATCCTAGGCCAATGATGCCAGTTATGACTGTAAATAGTATCACAGTATGTTTCAGTGCAAGAATCTAAAATAAACACTACAACAGCAAATGATACCCAAGCACCGTGGTTTGAGGAACTGAAAGAGGCTACAGTCAAATCCATGAAATTTGTATCATATGCATTAATGGCAGAAATCTGCTTTAAGTCCTGCTGAGAGAAATTATTGACTTGAGTCTTTTAAGCAAATGTGATGAATAAGCTAAGCTATCATGTCCCATCTACAACAGGATTTTACTGTACACCCAACTATGACTCATCCATCCCTGTGTACCAGTTATAACTAAAATAATTAATATTCCTAGACTAGAAGAAAGGAATTCCAGAAGTATCTGATAGTAGCAGTATTAGCTCGATACCCATCATCACCAATACCTAGTGGTAGTGCAATGAGTTGCATTTTGCAACACAAAGCTGTATTTTATCCCTCGAGCTTAAAAGATGGCATTATAGGAGGGAGATGGAAGTACGTGGACAAAGGGAAATTAGGAATACAGTATAGCTGTAGGGGCTAGTCTGTGCCCACCATTTCCAGTTGGACCGGCAGAGTGAAGACCAGGTGTTTCTTCAAACAGAGGAAGAGAATCAGAAGAAGGTTGTCATCTTTATTCGCTGCAAGAGCCAGAGAAAGATCAAGATTTTCTGAGACTTGGGAGCAAAATTCCTGGCCTCCAATGGGAATAGCAGAGTGACAAGAAAAAAATTTAAAAACTTATGCATAGTAGCTGGGGAATAACTAACAGCAGGCAAAACTCTCTCTTCACTGGAGATCAGTGAAAACATGGCAACTAATATCTACACTCATTCAACTGTTTTAAATTGAGTTTTAAAGTAGAAAGCAATACAAGACGACTAACAGAAAAACTGCATGAGGAGCCATCCTGCAGTCCTGGGTTCCCACCAAGGCAAAAACCACCCACTACAATACAGATTTCCAATGACCAAAGTACCACCAACCCAACAATACCTATTATGCAGAGCATTAAAATTACCTCATTCTTGTGGCAGAGTTGACTGGCTTGCAAATGATTGACTTGGTTCTCACAAAAGTCAGTCACATACAAAGTAACAAATACACATGACGCAGCTAACTACATGTTTAAAAGGTGATTTGGGTGTATGAAGGGCTGTATGCTCCCATTCCTTAGATTTAGCTGACAAAATAGATCAGGACAGCAAAATCATTCAAGACTTATACAGCCCTTTAACACCCAAAACTGTTACAACTTGCAACACATACCAAAGCATCTCACCATAACACACTGGATGATTTTACAGTACAGATGGTTCAATGAGTCGCCAATTTCGCCACTTTATTCACTTCTGCTTGTTACTATTTTTGCCGAAGAATCTGGCAAGCACCTCAAGTCTTGCAACACGTTTTCATAAAAGCAAAATGCATGAAACTGTGAGAAGACTCAAACCTGCGCATGTATGGCCATAATGCAGTCAATGGATGTAAAATTTCAAATATGTGTCACTTGGAAAATTGTCCAAACCCAACACTGGATTTTAACCAGACTTCCTCTCACACATTGAAAATATTTAACCAAGTTTTTTTTTTACATTGTTTTATTAGTGAAAGTGGAGGCAAGAAAAGAAAGTCAAATCATGCAAAATAGTTTAAAACGTTCACTGCAGGGAAACGGGATATAAACATGAACAAATATCAGAATCTTCGATATTGTTCTTATTTCACCACCACTGCACCCCCCACCAAATGAAATGTTAGAAAGGGCATCACAGCAACCCCTGCCCATTTATAAATTCACGGTAGTGGTATGGTAAAACTGCCTTATATTGATTGAGCTTGTGGTCTATTGGTCAATTTGTAAATTTGCAACTGTAAAGCAGAGTCCCAGCACAACGTTCTCAGATCTGACAAACTACATAGGTTTCTTTATTAGTATACTGAAGTGACAAACAAGTATTTAAGGAGTTGAGTCACACCTCTTTCAGGTGATCAACTCCAATGTCACTGGGTGGTGAATCTCCCAGCTGTTGCAGTGGGTGTGGGTGTCATAGGTGTCATGGAGGTCATGGGGGTCATGGGAGTCATCATTCCCATCTTCACTTGGTTGCGGAGATTTGCATTCTGCTCCAGGAGGAGCTCATTGGTGGCCATCAGGTTTGACACCTGTTTTTGGAGATCCTCAACACGTTTTTGCAGCATGAGATTCTCTTCCTTCAGAAACCGGTAGTCAGCTGCGCCAGGATTTTGCATGCCGTAGTCGTATACTTCAAACCCCATGCCCTCCATCCTTCTCCTCTTCATGTGAGCGTCGTAGCCATCGTAGTGGTCAGCATCATAACCTCTAGAGTAGAGGTCATCATAGCGATCATATCTGCGTGCCAAGGGAGAAAACACCTGGCTGTGCGCCATACCTTGGTTTTCATAACCATACTCGTCGCGCTTTACGTGCAGGAACTTACATTTGGGCCCTCTTTGACAGTCACCCTTCTGATAGTCGTGGCAGATCGGAATCTCACCTTTATTAACGGGTAGATCAGAAGATAAAAGGCCAAGGGTGGACATCTCATTAGCGTCTGGGTGGCGGAACTTGCAGCGCTTACCGCGGTTGCAGACGTTGCGCAGGAAGTCACGGCAAATATCATCTGTACTGGGGCCAGCCTCCTCGGTGCCGTTATCTGGCATTTTTATAGATTAATTCTGCGCTGTTTAGCCAAGGCGCTACACAAGCAACTGCAAAAGAAAAAAAAAGGCAGGTCTTTACAGAGAATGAGCGATTCATTTACAAAGTAACTATTGCGCATTCTATAAAACATTGAATTGAGTAGTCGCAGTAGCAACATTACCAAGTGAGGAAATCTGTGCAACATGCTAGCACACTGAAAAAAAAACCAAATCATAAATGAATCGGTCAGATCCACAAACGTGATGTGCGCAAAAAAAGTGCTCTATAATTTATGGTTGTCTGCAAGTTTCCTAATTTATTGTTTAAATTAGATGGACTATAGATGGATTTCTGGTGCGCCAATATAAACTCTTCCTTTGGAAGAGAGAGTACAACAGGCAAGCATTAAAATTGCACTCAAAGATAATACAGTAGATATCCAAATGAATTGTGCCAATCTACATCAAATGGTAAGCCTCCACACAAGTTACCAAGCTCAACATGCCAAGGGTAGGGTTAGCAAGTCCAGAATGCACCTTAGCCTTCCAATATTGTAGGACTTTTGCTCTTAAAAATTTACACGGCAGACTAACTTGAAAGAAAACAAGCAAAGTGGCCTTGAAATTAACTCTTAAAAGCACTTGACATAATGCAAACTAAAACATCAACATTTTAGCAAAAAGCAGTGGAGTATCTGATCAGCATGAAAACCTTTACTTCCAGGACACCCTCACAGTTGAGCTAACAGGAGCACTTACAGGCAGAGTGGAAGGCTCTTTGCCCAAGGACCACCAGAAATTTAGGGTGGGAGGGCAGCAATGAATTCTCACCTAATCAAAAGTTTCATCTAGCTCCAATAAATGGTTGAGTGATCTCATGCAATTTCATTGATGAGCAGAATACATGCAACAGCATGGAAAACCAAACTCAAGTCACAGCGCTTGTACCCAAGGTTAATTCTCTACTGTGTGTGGCAGGGGTGAGGGTTTAAGCCCGACTGCGATACGAGAAAACTCTCCATATGAGTGCGTTCCAAACAGTTTCTGTAATTGCCGTTTGAACTGCAGTAAATTTTACGCCGCTTGCATTGTGCACAACCATTTTCAACGTAGTTTATCGGATTACAAAGCTTCTAGGCCTCAACTTCCAGATGCATGAAACAACTGCATTCACGCTAACATTACTAAACCCTCAAACCTAACATTTAAACAGTTGGAATAATCAAGTGATTACGGGTGAAAGGTACAGAAAACAGAAACATATTTACACAAACGCTCAGCTCTTCCAAACTACGGACAACGACTTGACGTCAGAACTCCAATTCGAGCCATCTCAAAACAAGGCTAAACTCAAATATTTTGCGATAAACTACTGTTTGAGAACAGGAAATTGATTCTTCTCCTAGTATGTAAAAACTGAGGCGGATCTTTAAACAAATTTGTCCTCCCCTCCCCCACAAGACAGGCCGATTTTATCCTGCGTGCCACGCACTCGAACTAACGCACTTTATTCGACGGATGCTTCTGTCTTTAAAGCATCTTTAACCAAATTATCAAACAATGTGATTCGGCAGGCCCAGCCGCTCCAGATTACT